TGAAGGACGGAGAAGCCCCAAAATTGCACCCCAAAAATGCCTAACATGACTTCTGAAACCCATAGAAAATGATGCTTTTGGCTCCTTTTTCCTCTTGCTGCTGCTATGAATTTTAGCTGCCTTTACATCCGGTCCCCAAATAGGAAAACACCATGGAAAAAATCACCCCATGCCTCTGAAGGACGGAGAAGCCCCAAAATTGCACCCCGAAAATGCCTAACGTAACGTTTGAAACCCATAGAAAATGATGCTTTTGGCTCCTTTTTCCTCTTGCTGCTGCTATGAATTTTAGCTACCTTTACATCCGGTCCCCAAATAGGAAAACATCATGGAAAAAATCACCTCCCGGGGGCGAAACACCATGCCTCTGAAGGACGGAGAAGCCCCAAAATTGCATCCCGAAAATGCCTAACGTAACTTCTGAAACCCATAGAAAATGATGCTTTGGCTCCTTTTTCCTCTTGCTGCTGCTATGAATTTTAGCTACCTTTACATCCGGTCCCCAAATAGGAAAACACCATGGAAAAAATCACCTCCCGGGGGCGAAACACCATGCCTCTGAAGGACGGAGAAGCCCCAAAATTGCACCCCGGAAATGCCTAACGTAACTTCTGAAACCCATAGAAAATGATGCTTTTGGCTCCTTTTTCCTCTTGCTGCTGCCATGAATTTTAGCTACCTTTACATCCGGTCCCCAAATAGGAAAACACCATGGAAAAAATCACCTCCCGGGGGCGAAACACCATGCCTCTGAAGGACGGAGAAGCCCCAAAATTGCACCCCGAAAATGCCTAACGTAACTTCTGAAACCCATAGAAAATGATGCTTTTTGATGCTTTTGGCTCCTTTTTCCTCTTGCTGCTGCTATGAATTTTAGCTACCTTTACCAGTAGTAGTAGTAGTAGTAGTAGTAGTAGTAGGAGGAGGAGGAGGAGGAGTAGCAGCAGTAGCAGTGCAGTACCTCTTCTTCCCTTACGCGCTCCCCCTTGCGTCGGCCGGGGTCGGCGGATTATGTATGACTCCATATGACACATACACACAAATACATACACACACACATATATATATATATACACGTGTAGCCATTGAGGCGCTCAGATATTCAACCTTTGATGCACGAGATGGAAGAGGCTCATAGCGCCAACGGTGCAGCCAATGGCGATGGGAAGCAACCTGGATTGGCAAAGGGGGCTAGAGTACCGATTTTGTATTCAAACCGTAGGGATACCTATCAACCCAATGTAATGGGATTGGATAGGTGTATTTGTTTCATGGCTGGTGTGTTTTTTGTTTTTCTCAGGATATACTGGAGGATTTCACCAAAATTCATGGGTAAATAGTGGGGATACAACCGGGATATATCTAACCACGTACTAAGCACTACAGTAATACATACATACATACATCATACATACATACATACATACATCATACATACATACATACATACATACATACATACATACATACATACATACATACATACATACATACATACATACATACTACATACATACATACATACATACATACATACATACATACATACATACATACATACATACATACATACATACATACATACATACATACATACATACATACATACATACATACATACATACATACATACATACATACATACATACATACATACATACATACATACATACATACATACATACATACATACATACATACATACACACATGCATACATACATACATACATACATAATTATATATATATATATATGATGTCTATGACAGTTGTGGGGGTTCCACGCGCAGTGTCGTCTCATAATTCAACATAGGCATGGAACATGGCAGTGTTTATAGAATAGGACATAATGCATAAATGAACCATTTTCCATAGCTATGTTAAATCACCGGGGTACGGGCAAAAACAATGGGAACTGGTTGATTTCTGAACCGTTTCAACCTAACTCTATAATTATGAATATTCAAAAAAACAATAAAACCCGATTGACCCATTTATTGTTTGCAGTTTGTTTGAAAATTGCTGGTTTGTAATAGACAAACTCATCTCACAGCCTAAAGCACCAAAGTAAACAGATATGTTTGGCTTGACAAGGCTTGACGACACTGAGGCAGCCTGGGCTATACCAAAAGTTCGGCAGCAAGTTGGGTGCCATCGTTCAGCTGTTGAAGGAGATCAAGTTGAAGGATACGACAGTGGCTCTAGTTGAATTCACCAATGGAGCTGGGGTGAATCCCATCCCCCCACCACTGAGGGAGTTACACTTATTTGGGACCATGAAATGGGGATATGTGAATTTTGGGAAATGGGGTGTGCTGTTTTGACTTTTGAAATTGGGTAATGATACTGAACATTCCCAAGATTTCAATTTTGATTCATACACAAACAGGATTGCTTCACAAGGGTTGACCCCGCTTGAATTCAGTGCCTTTAGAAGCAGACTATTTGCATTTACTTCGTCAAATTGGAAATTGGTAAATTTGAGTACCTCTTAGCTGTCTTGGCAGTCCATTCATAGACCTCAGATCAAACACACTTGATCCTAGTGTGTAAATGGTGTTCCTCCTGCCCAGTCCTGCCCAGTCAATCTCGTTTTCTTCCGATCAGCGCAGATGGCCATTTGAGATTGGTCATGTGGTTAAATCAAGACCTATGTTGATTTATTATGGGGAGAGGAATCTCCATTTACCAGCTATTTTGGTGTGAACAACACGGGCCCCCAGGGTTTTGACACACACATGACTCCAGTTCTCAGCCAGTATTGACAGGTTGAGTAAACCCATATCATATATAAATATGCCCCTCCCCTTTATATATATATATATATATCATTATATCACATATATATATATATATATGTCCCAATTAAGGCCATGAATCCCCATCATAGTCCCATAATAGAATGTCATATATCACATACAGTAATATCATTGATATCGCCATATCTTCGCCATCATATGCCATTATTATATCCTATTGCATTCATTGTTGTTAGTGGTTTACCCAATATGTTCCTATTATATAATATATATATAGGGTCCATGTACCCTCCAGTAAATGTGGAAAATCCACTATTTGTATACATCATGTTCATAGGGAAGAACGTTGGTTTTTCACTTCTTGTATGTTTGCCCTAAGATATATAGAATTAAAACCATTCATAGATGATTTTCCCATTTATGGATGATTTTCCCATTAAAACCTGCATTCCCAGCTACAAACCTCCATTGATGATTATGGATCATTCGCTTTCTCCAAGGCCAAATGTATCGTCTTTTGCCAGTGGGATTCGCTTCTGGCGAACATCGCTCGTGCCTTTCACGACTTCGGCATCCGCTACGCGCGCTTGCACGGCTCCGTCTACGCGCGTACGCGGACGTTGGCGAATTTTCAAGGAGTCCAGGGTGGCTCTCATCCCAGAGATCGTACGGTATTCCAATGTGGCGATGGAAAATCAATGAATGCTACAAATGGAGATTTATCCATTGCAATGTTTGTATGACCCATAATACATACATACATATATATATATATACATATATGTATATATATATATATACATAATTATATATATATATCTATACATAATTATATATATATACTGCATATATATATATATACATATATATATATACATGTACCTGGGGCATGATATGCTTATGACTGACTTACCAACCCCAAGTTTTTGCAAACGGTTCAAGCATGTTGTTTGGGATATGGGGATGAGCCCCCCATGGATACTGCTGCTTTTTGTGGGGACAGAATGGAATACAATGGGATAAATAAAACCCATTAGTTACATTATGTTTTGGGTTTGTGTGGAAATCATTGATTTACCTCCAATTTATGACCATTCAGATGTTTGTTTTTTCACCACGCGGTGAAATACCGTGGATTTTTTTGAGAACCCAAAGTGAGCAGCGCGCCAGTTCGCACTTGCAGGTTGATTGCAAAATTTTATATTGGAATTATCAGAATTTATCAGGAAGAAAAAACTGCCAAAGTGGGAATGGGAAATCAAATCAACACAATTTTGAATCCGGGCCCCTGGATACACTCACTATGACTGTTAATGTCGAGACCGTACAGTTCAGACGAAGAGAAGCCCTGCTTGATCCAACCAGAAACAGGAGTATGACTGGAAATTTGAGCATTGCTGAGGTTGCAATGGCTTTATGGGTCGCAAAGCATCATCAGATATCATCAGCGTGGTTTCATTTTGGACTTAACATCTCAACTTGTGATGATTATACTGTATATATATATATATATCCCCAATTGCACCAATAGATTTTTTTTTTTCCTCAAGGGTGGTGAAATTGGTTTAGCAAGTTTCACCGTCAACCAGAGACTGTCATCAATATAACATATAATGCCTGTATGTAATATATACATATATATATATATATACATGTTGATCATGGCAAAGCTTGCCTTTTTTTGGTTGGGTACCATCTCTATACATATATACAAATACATAAACAGTTTCGCTCACCTGCACCTTTGCAGGAGCCAAGTCCAACGTCGATGTTTTGCTGCTGTCCTTGGAGCATAGTGCCAGCGGCACAAACTTGACATGTGCCAATCACGTGACGCTGTGCAGAAGTCGGTTTCACGGGTATTTAATCAACATGATTCAACAAGAATAATTGAGATATAATATGTATTGGTTATTTATATAGAAAACACAAACAATAATTGGATATAATTGGGGAGTATATAGATATTTATGTATAACAAACAAACAATAGTGAGGATATACATAATGGCTAAACACAGAAAAATGGTGTGAAACCAACCATTTTTCTGGTGGTATGATATGGGGGAGCATAGGAATTTATGTGGACTTAACTAATCAACAATATGCAATCCCTGAGTGTGTCTGAAAATCGGGAACATTATGATCAACTTTTTTTCAGACGAGACTATATACTATATCTGGAAGAGATGTTTTCTGTTTTGAACAAGAAAGTGAACAGAACCACAATTATACCTCATACAAAATGATATGGGTATGGGTCAATACCTATAGATACATTTTTAGTGGGATGAACATCCATTTACCAGCTATTTTGGGGTTCACTAGGTACCAGGGTTTTGGCCCATCCCCATATAGCTGGGAAATATGAGTGTTTTTGCACCAAACGTTTGGTGGGGATTCAACACTTGCGCCGAAATGGGGGATTTCACCGACCACTTTTGGGTACCCAAAATGTGACCTCCTGGCATAGCCCAACAATTACCCTCTGGTGAACTAACATAGCAATGGAAAATCACCATTTTTAATGGGAAAATCCACTATAAATCACCATTTTCAATTGCTATGTTAGTTCACCAGAGGGTAGCAATCTCAATTCTGGGAAAATGATCATCAACCATTCAGATTCATGATATAGCTGGGAACTGGGCGGTGTCCATGGACATCCCCACAGGTTACCCCTGGTGTAACTCCCCTATTTTGGTTTCACCGCTGCTATGTTAGAGCTGGATATGGGAGTCTATTGCTCCATGTGTTTTTTTGTTACCTGAGACAATAGTCCCAATTTTCTGCATTATACTCTGAGTGACTGTTCTTCCAAGTTCATGTAGCACCTAAATACCATAATCAATTATTATAAGACACCTCCATATCTAAAAGTAGTTCTATGTAATAGTAATTCTACATACCTCCTCTATTACTATACTGATACCATCTCTATACCTTCACTATACCTTTTCATGATACCTCCAAAGTCAACCTGACTTCATTAAGTTGGGAATATGTTACTGTATATACCGCATCTATCTATCTATCTATCTATCTAATCTATTCTAATCTAATATAATCTAATCTATTCTAATCTAATCTAATCTTATCTTATCTAATCTAATCTAGTCTATCTTAATCTAATCTAATCTAATCTAATCTATTCTAATCTAATCTAATCTAATCTAATCTAATCTATCTATCTATCTATCTATTACATCAAAATCATCAGAAAGTGACAATATTCACCCATAGTCACTATTAATATACACCCATATTCACATATATTCATATATCTATATACCGTATGCCACCATTTTGATGGTTTCAGGATCTTTTCACTGAAAAATTCAGCGCCAGCTCTCAGGATCTTGGTGCATCCCATGAGTGCAGAGAGCTCAGAACAGTCCATCGCCTTCGAACTGCAGGCCATCGGTCGTGTAAGGCGCTGGGGTCAACCACGGAACGAGGCGGGGCCGAAAAACCATGGGTGAATTGATGTGTTGAAGAAGCCAAAAGTTGGAAAATGGTGATGTTCATAGGTTAACAACGTTTGTTAAGATGTTCATGGTGAAATTTTTGATAGGTGTTTTTTTATAGTTGGAAAATTCATTGTTTTTCATATAGGTTGATTCAATGATTTAAGACAAATCTGATCATCTGCCGAACACCACCGATTACCGGCGAAATATATAAATTTGTGTTTTCCTTGTGAAAGTATGGCCTTGCCCTCGGGTAGTTTAAAATGGCTCGCTGCAAAATTCTAACTTTTCATAGGGAGACATAGGGAGCATTCTACCTTATAACTTTTACGTTGATGATTTGCTATTGCCAAGGTTGAATGAAGTATTAGACATCAAGAACGTGTATTCAGTGGTAAGAGTTTCACCAATGGATAGTGGAAATTGGATTAGTCACGCATTGTCCAAAAAGAGGGGATAGGCTCCGAAATTGAGCTATTCTAATTGGAGCTTGATGACTGTGATGATTTGGTGGTACCCTATTTTCAGATCATATCTCAGAAGCATAGGATGGTTTAGGATGGTCTAGGAATGTTTGGGATGCTGATGACCCATTTTTGCTGAGCTTTGGTGTGAACTTCGGATTGGCTGGAGCATTGTAGCCAAACTGATCTATCGTTTTTTTTCTTATGACTGGGTTTTGCCACGTGAATCTTAGTAAGCGTAAACCTCTAGCAGGAGTTCAACAAACATGAAGTTTACCCTCTGGTAATAAAACATGACAATGGACAATGCCCTATAAATGGAGGTGTGAATAGGAACATTAACTAGAATTGGTGGATTTCAATGTGTTTTTTTACCCTGGAGGGTAGGAGTCTTCAGGATTTCCAGGTTCTCAATGTTGATCAAGCTGCTGGATGCAGGTGCACGTGTGGCGCTTCTGCACTTTGGGCACCATCGAGGATTTGGGCTTCAGTAAGTGTCAGCCTTGGGGGCCGTTGGGACGACATGTTGGCCGATGGCAGGAGGAAATCACGAAACAACATCAGAAGGAGATCTACGAGAGTAGTCAGAGTTTTGCCATGGCCCAACTGGAGGAGGGAAAGGGATGGAAATGGCATGTCATGAGACTAAGTGGGATAGTCATGGTATATTTATGATGTTTGTGATTTATATAGATTAGTTTGTTATTTTTGTTTTATCATTATTTATTAATATCATTATTATTTATTATTACGTGATTTACATATTTATCTATTTATTATGTGTCATTATTGCTATATATATGTATATACATATATATATATTGCAATCATAATAGTTGTTGTACTTGTTATTACTATCATTTGCAAGATATATATTATTTGTTGCAGTAAGGGAATATATGTATGCGTTGGATTGTATCTTGATTTTGTTTCTTGGGCAGCTAATACAATAGGGTGGGGTATACTGTTGAATGACTTTATCCTTCTAAGAACAGTGTCAACATTGGTTATGCATTTTTTCCTAGAATCCCTGATCCTGCCATCAAGCATCTTCGGCATTGCTGTAATCTGTAGTTTGGTGCAGGCTAGAATTAATTGATTCCCAATTTGAGACGCATCAAGTACCTTATCAAGAATCACTTCTTTGAAGCAATGTTGGAAAGGTTTCTTGATGAAACAACGCTGTCAGAGGGACATGACGTCAGGTTTCTTGGACATAGCATGCGTTGTCAGGCACCTCCAGCAGAAAGTGGGAACAGCAGTGTGCTCAGTTTCAGTCTTGTTGCATGTGTTGTTCATTGAATTATTGAATTGCAGGGTTGATGATGATTGAACCATCGATCACAAATTATGGGAGTAAGTTGATGATTTGATGGTGGTTGATGCTTTAATCATCCTTAACTTACTCCCAGTTGAAACCAGAGGAAGCTTGGTGCTGAGGTCAGAGACCCAAGAGGAAGAGAGGCGAAGATTTGCGATTTGATTTACAGCCAATGATACCCCCATCCCCCTAATATTGAATACCCGCAGGGACCCATAATATAGATAGGTTATATTAGATTAGACGAGATTAGACTAGATAGACAGATAGACAGATAGAAAGAGACAGGTAGATAGATAGAGATAGATATAGATAGATACATAGAGATAGAATGAGAGAGATAGATGGATGGATGGATGGATGGATAGATCGATAGGTAGATAGGTAGATAGGTAGATAGGTAGATAGATAGATAGATAGGTAGACAGATAGACTCAGACAGATAGATAGATATAGATAGATAGCAATAGATATAGATAGAAATAGATAGATAGAGATAGAAATAGACAGATATATATATAGATAAGATACAATAATATAAGATAAAATGGATAGATATATAGACATAGATAGACATAGATAGACATAGATAGACATAGGTAGACATAGGTAGACATAGGTAGACATAGGTAGACATAGAAAGGCAATAGGTTGACATAGGTAGACATAGGTAGACATAGATAGACATAGATATATCCATTGACATAGATAGACAGATAGACAGACAGACAGACAGACAGAGAGATAGAGAGATAGAGAGATAGAGAGATAGAGAGACAGATAGACAGATAGACGGATAGATAGACAGAGAGATAGACAGATAGACAGATAGAAAGATAGACAGATAGAAAGATGGACAGATAGACAGATAGATGGATAGATAGATCCATGTCTAAACCATGGTTTCTACTTGTAAGAAGCTACTTCATATTAGGAAGGGATTGATATCGCCACATGAAGCCGATGATGGAAGTGGCAGGTTCGGCGCTCGCAGCAGGGCCTTGATCCCAGTTGCAAATCAGTGAGTATAGCTGAAACTATACTGGCAGTAATATTTAGACTTATATATCATGTAATATCATGTAATATCATGTAATATCATACACACTATATATATATATATATGTATAAATCGATATTTATTAATATATGCATGAAGTATTTGAATGTATTTGAGAGTTCCTTTGGATCCTGACCAGTCTTGTGAATTCTTCATGAAGACTTTTGCGGCCCAGGTGGTCCTGTGGAAAGTGCGGCCTTGCAAATGAAGTGGGAGCATTGCTGTGCTCCTGCGGTGCAAACAGACCAGGACGACGCGACGTCGATGAAGTCGAGAGACTGTGAGATTGTTGCACTGGGGCAGATCAAGAGAACATCAACCAGCTTGTGCGTTCGGAATTGCTAAGTTGGTTTTTTGTTTACTTCGCCAGGATCTTACCAGGTGTAGATTAGTGCCAGCAGCCATTATCTATCGATAATTACTGTAATAGGTATTAGTAGATATTGATAAATATGAACAGATATCAATAGATTCTAATAGATATTACTGGTTATCAATTGATATTAATAGATGTATATATAATTACTTATCATTATGAATAATAATGATTATTTGTTATTATTAATTATTGTTATTGCGATGATTATGATCAGATTATTATTATATTCTTATTAGATATTCTTAATAGATTATTATTCTTATTATCAGATTATTATTATATTCTTATTATAGCAACCCTACTAATTATAATAAGTTATTACACTATCTATAGATTCGTGCTGTCGCAGTGCGAGTTATATCTCCGATGTTTTTCGACAAATCACTGGGCACCCTGGGAGGATTGGCGGCCGTGACGGAGCCGGCCGTGGAGCGATTTCAAAAGTTGAATGTGCCTTGGAAATCAGCCGTGAAATGGCCATTGGTTATACCATCTGGTTATTTAACATAGCCATGGAAAATCACCATGTTTAATAGGTAAACCATCTATAAATGGGCCATTTCCAATGGCTATGTTAAATAACCCAAGGGTACATTTACCAGTTATTAGTTATCTATAGTTATCCCATTGATTTTTTCAAATCCTCCATGAGTTATAACTGGTTATTTCTATGGGATTATAGATTCTATAATAGAGTTATAAGTACTTGGAACTGGTAAAAGGGCCATAACTGTTGGAATGTCAAGCATAACTGTTGGAATGTCAAGCAAAAGGAAAGAGGGTTTCAGGAACCATCAAGAGATGTCAAGAAACATCAAAACATATTCCGTTTTTTTTAAGTCAAGACATGGTATGTTATATGGTGGATATGGTGGTTGATATATCAAGAAATGGGATGTGATCCATGTTTGTTTTCGACGATTTTTTCTGGGAGGATGATCCCCAAAGACTGACCAATGGTTGAAGGGAATCCATCCGACAGGTAGCTGGTGGAATGGAGATGCAACCAATCCAACCGACATGAAATATACCCTCTGGTAATTTAGCATAGCTATTGAAAATGGTGATTTATAGTGGATTTTCCCATTGAAAATGGTGATTTTCCATAGCTATGTTAGTTTACCAGAGGGTATGTATACTGTACGTTTGTTTTGACTAATGTTCTTCAGAGGCTCGAAATCAGCCACCACAGCAGGGATTGATTCAAGACTTGTTGACACGCACTCTTGATTACAAAACTTGGATGGCTTGATTTTTTTGGGAACCCCGGATAGGAAAGCTGATTCATTTGTGACAAATTAGATGTCTATCTTTTCGTGGGGTTGCTGAAGTCAATTTGGGATCTCTGCCGCACATCTGAATCTAAGGGATACTAACCAGATGGAATCCTAACCTTCCCATGGCTGTAGAAGAAATGGCTGACCATCCCAGAAATTCCATAGTCAATTACTGCCTATGTGGGGATTTGTTTCACAGGGACCCCCAAGAAAATTCAACATCGACAATTCTATTTGTCATCATCTATGTCCCTATCGATCCAATCATCTCTTCAGATGGATCCGCATCCATCATAGAATGGGTGGCCGCCTAGGGATTCTTTAATGTTGTTGTTGACTAACGAAAAAAAAACGGACATTTTTCATCGCCATTTTACCAAGACGGCGATGTCTTGGCCCTGAGGCTCCTGCATCCCTATGCATCGACTTGAGCGATGATGAAGCGATGTAACGGTGAAGTCAAGTTATGCCTGTACATAACTCGTAGAATGAGCTGGGCAAAGCGTTCCAGTGAATGGCTCAAAACTCATGGAAATATGTAACAATTCTCTATCCCAAATCTTTGATATGGGTTTCTCATGGTTATATATATATAGGTTATACCAAAAATATGGAATACACCAATTGATGCCTGTCAAAAGTGTATTATTTTATTACTCTTTTTCAGTACCCGATCCGATATTTTTGTCAGGTGAATCACCCTGACATCTGAGTTTTGAGCCATGGCTGTTGCTGCAAAAGTATGTGGAAAATGGGATGTTGCCGAAGGGCAGTCCGTCTAATGATATGGATGAAATTGAAGAAAATCCAAAGCCTGGCGGTGTCATGTTTGAAAACAAGTTGCATGTCGTTTGCATTCAATTCTACGGTATCCCATCTATCCATGTGCTCGATGTTTGTTCAGGACTCTGTTTAATATGTTCTTTTGATACTTCAAGCTCCAAATGTGTGGATTCTGTATACCAACACTTACATTTTAGGCATTACCCTCAAACTTGCACAAATTTACAAGCACTTGGGGGGTGCAGTTCCAGTTATCAGTGGATATAGAATGATATATAGATTGACAATTATCAATATTATAAATATATATATATATCCGAATTAAGTAGTGAAATTGTGTAATTGTGTGGTGATATCTTAACTTTTGATGGTCCCATTGCTTGTTACCCTGGGGCAAACTAATATCGATGTGGAAAATCACCACAAAGAAAAACACATAATACATCATAATACATATATATATATATATAATACATATATAATCATATAATATATATATACATAATACATACATATATATATAACGTATAAATGTATAATATATAATTTAATATATATATATAATATCATACAATATAGTATGATATAATATAATATAATATACAGTATATATATAATATAGTAATATAGTAGAATATAATATCATATCATATCATATAATATAATGTCATATAATATAATATAATACATAATATAATAAATATACAAACAATATTTATATAACCATTTAATATAATATAATATAATACAATACAATATAATATAGTATAATATAATACAACATAATATAATATAACATAATATAATATAATTTAATATAAACAAATATGTAATAATATATATATATACAGGTAAATTAATCCATAAATGGGCCATGCTCCACATCTATGTTACCCTGTATTTCTATAGCTCTACCATGTTATGCCCACAACACCCTGAGGCCTGGCTGGCGTTTGAATAACATCCAGAGCGCCCTGACCGTGCGACGTCCCAGACGCGAGAAGGACCGTAGTAATGTCCCGGGAAACTTTGGGAAGTTTGATGTCGTTTATATGATTTACCCATGGAAAATCACCATTTTTAATGGGAAAATCCACTATAAATGCACCAGGCCCTGCCACCCCCCCCCCCCCCCCCTTCCCCCCCCTGGATGGGTCCCATATACTGGTCCCATATGAGATCTTCCCCCTCCCCCCCCCCATATGGGATGGGTCCCATATACTGGTCCCATATGAGATCTTCCCCCTCCCCCCCTGTGGTGTGGTGGGGGTGTGGCACTGTCCCCCTCCCCCCCCTGTGGTGTGGTGGGGGTGTGGTATGGTATGGTGGGTATGTATGGTGTGTATGGTCGGTCTGGTATGGCATGTTTGGAAAGTATGGTATGTTTGGTATGTATGGTAGGTATGGTATGTATGGCATGAGTGGTTGGTATTGTATGGATGGTAGGTATGGTATGTAAGTCTGTTGGATATGGTATGTTTGATATGACAGTATGTATGGTCTGTATGGTATGTATGGTTACTATGTTGGGTATGGAATATGTCCTATCTAAGGTAGGTATGGTATGTATGGCATGTATGCTTGCTATTGTATGTATGCTATTGTATGTATGGTAGGTGTGGTAATTACATTTCATATGTATGGTATGTATGGTATGTATGATAGATATGATAGGTATGGTATGCATGGCATCATTGACATGTATGGTAGGTACGGTATATGTTCAACAGAGGTAGTGTTGTCAGAGTACACAGGTAGTAAACAGGAAGTAGATACAGTAGATACATAGCACATGTATGTATGACTATAGGTAGCACGTAGGTACTTTGAAGGAGTATGTGTGCTACGTAGGTCGCCTAAAAGGTAGCATGTACCTAGTAAATGCGAGGCTGGTAGTCAGAAATGCTGCAAAGACCTAGCAAATACGACGCTGGACCTCAGAAATGCTGCCAATAGCTTGCAAAAAGAAGGGAATTGGGGCTACTACCTGGGGACCCAACCCATGGGGGGGGGGGGGTGGAGAGACGGAGGACGGGACCATAAATGGTCATTTACCAGAGGGTATAAAGGAGGTTTCCATATTTGTTTAAAATGGGGGTACCCCGAAATGGATGGTTTATAAGGGAAAATCGGAAAATCCTATTGAAGTGTATGATTTGGGGACACCCCTATTTTAGGAAACCCTCATATGCGTTGATAGTAAGCCTAGTAAGCCCCAAGTTAAGATAGACAACTAACATTCCAAAATACTTTAACATACACAAAAAACTGTTTTGAATGGGGGAATCTGATACCCACCAGTGGGAATTTCTTTATGAATGACTTTTCTACGGCATCGATGTGCCATTTTCAGCCGCGACCTTTTTTTGGGGATGATCCCTGATGAATCGATGGTATTTTTAGCTACATTGATCCAGATGACTACCCTCTGGGAAACTAACAGTTTGCTATTGAAAATGGCCATAGAAATAGTGAGTCTTCCCATTAAAAATTGTGATTTTCCATAGTTTTTTGTATGTTTACCAGATGACTAGGTATCAGCATGGAAACCTGCCGATGCCATACTTGGATGGTACAAGGTGATGCCCTAGATCGATATGCATCTACCACAGCCTCTACTCGTAAAGACTTAGCCAATTATGAAACCAACTAGAAAAATGCCAACTAGCACACACACTGTTTGTAATACAACATGAATAATATAATATACTATACTATAATAAGATATAATATAATATAATATAATTAATATAATATAATACAATATAATATAATGTAATGTAATGTAATGTAATGTAATATATACCCATTATCTAACTTGTTTCATTTTTTTCAGTTGCCAACTTAGCTATGGGGCCAAGGCACGCATGCGGGAGTGGCACCGGGAGCCATCTGCCTTGCCAGAGGGTATGTCGATGCCGCCTGAGACGCAAGAACTGTGGGGGATCCCAAGCCTTCAAGCGGAGAAAATTCACATCCGAAACACGGTTGGGAAGCCTTGAGGTAAAGTCCAGTTCCGTCATGAAAAATTATAGAATGTGCTCGGTCAAGAACAAGATTCCCCTCGTGGATTGTGATAATCTCGCGAAAAAAAACGGTCATAATCCTCATTATCAACCAAGCGGACTTTCGAACACTGCGCACATTATTTGCCTGCATGAAGAATATGTTGCACCTTTCTACTTTGTTCACCTATGTCTAATGTAGATAATGTAGTTTGTCTTGTTTGTTTCGGAAATGTGTCATCTGTTCAAATGAAAATGATGGTTGATTAAGTTGTTTGTTTTTGAATCAGCCATGTATATAACTTAACCCCACTGATGGGGAGGATGGTGGAGGCAAATATTATAGACATGTGACCATTTGTTGGCAAAAATGAGGCATTTTGTGGAGTTGTTGATTTAAGTTTCAGCAATGTATGGAGGAATCTGGTGAAACCAATGTAACTTGAACTTTCTTTCTCAGAACCTGGATGATGTACAATTTACATCAGTTTACAGGAACCCCTACATTTACTGAGAAACAAAATCAATGGTTCCTGTAGGTTTTGCCTCAAGTCCAGCCATTGATTTTGTTGGCAATTTGGGGGCTTACACTCAAAATACTAGTGTATAGTAGTAAACTACTACTCACTTTGGTACCCGGTTGCCCCCTCTTAATAAACTGCAGGCGTTCTTGTCATCCCAATGTGGCTCGGCCGAGGCTTGACTATTGCACTGCGGTTGGTATTGAGGAGCTGGCCGATGAGGGTGCCAAGCTTTGAATCTGTGAGGGAAAATTCAGGGATGGTGAAAAAACATGTTTGTGGGGAGAGGTGCATTTAAAGATGGAAAAAGAACCTGACTACTACTATAGTTACTATAGACTCTACGTAAAGGGACATTATGTGGTACCAAATGTCTTGCAACTAAGAGAACTCTTCAGGCATCTATTGTAGCCATTTACCAGCTGTATCGGCGCCAAGGAAATCTCTGTGTCACAAGTTGAAGCTGGGCGCAGAGGCGGGCTGTCTCTTTCATCACCTGGGCATCTGGTGATACAAAGGCGGAAAATAGAATGGATAAGAACACCCCATAGTCAGCTCTTGTATGTTCTTGTTCAGCGCTATTAACTGATTATGATGTTAAATGGCTATCATCCAAGGTTCGCAACCGTGATTTGATGCACGGGACAGGATCTCGTACAAGAAACTCGATGATTTCTGCCAAATACCTTCCCCATTGCTGAAGCCGGAGGAACCGTCTGTGCTAATAACCTGGATCTTGAGAACTGGTAGGATTTAGGATTGGTCGGACAGTGGTATCAGAGGATGATGAATGATGCTGCCCATGCCATTGTTGACACATCAAGCATGCTGCCCATGTGACTAGGGGGCTCCAAGAGAGACTGGAGCGTCTGGATTCACAGCAGATCCTGTGGAGGATGACCAAAAACCATACCATCTTTGGGAATCTTTGGATGAATATGGATGAACATCCAACAAAAACATCCCAATTATTTGGAACTACTCTAATATAAATTCATATAAGATGTTTAAGGTTCACCAGGGCACTGGGCTTTTGACCCATAGCCTGGTCACTAGCCAGGTCACCATCCGTGGCCCGGATCCAACTGGAGTGTTTCATCAGTCGTAGCACCCATGGATTTTTGACAGGTTCAAAGTCCCAACCAACCACCATGGTTTTGTCATTTCCGGTGTGTGGGCCGCCCAAGGCTGCGGAACGAGCTGAGCCACAAAGGCTCTTCCGGACTGAGATAGAGATGGCTAGAGAGCCCTGCAAACTTCAAATCAAGGGGTAGGAGAGGATGGACCTTTTCACGTCTTTGTTAGAGATTTGTAATTTAGATACGGTTGTTGGTTTCTGATTCATGAGACTGAGTGAGGAATCTTCTTGGTCACTTCTTGGGTCATGTGAAGCCTACTTGTACATGCTGGCTAGTCATCTCGTGCCTTGTCTTGAGCCGACCATTCTTCACGGATCTGTGAGAAGTCTCTCAAGTCACAGTAACTGCTGGTCTGACGACCACAGCCATTGCGATTGCCCGCATCGCCGCATCGTCGAGTCGCCATGTCTGAAATGAAGCAGATGGCCAAACCGCTCCTGAACTCCAGTCCAATTCCCAGTGCCCTCCCCAAGTTATCCTTTGAAATCCAAGGAATGCACTGCAAGTCCTGCGTCCGAAAGGTGGAAGCAGCTCTCCAGCAGCTGGATCTTCCCATCTCGGCCACAGTGGAGCTGCGACCTCCAGGGGCCGGTTGGTTGGAGGTGGCGGTGGATTCCGTGGATCTGGGGCCGGAACGAATGGAAGAGGTCAGTGCCATGGTGCAGAAAGCAGTGGAGGGGCTGGATCTGCAGATCCAGCCTGCGAGAATTGAAGATTCTCAAGGGCCGGAACAGGCAAGGCACGAGGCAAGGCATGAGGCAAGGGGCACTCAGGCCTTTGAGATTGAGGTGTTGGGCATGAAGTGTGGCTCGTGCGTTCAGAAAGCTGAGAAAGCCCTTCAAACAGTGCCATGGCCTGCAGTCACCGAGGTCAGTGTGAACCTGTTGTCCGAATCTGCGCGGGTGCTGGTGCAGGACAATTTGTCTCCCAGCAAAACCGATGCTGCTGCCAGGGTCTTCAAAGAAGCCCTTCAATCCGTGGGGCTTGAAGCCACGGTGACGAAGACACCGCCAACAAGCGAAGAGATTGAGATCTCCGCTACATCAAAGACATCACGGCTGTCCTTTGCCTTTGAGGTCTTGGGGATGAAATGTGGCTCTTGTGTTCAGAAGGCGGAAAAAGCAGTGAGAGCTCTTGCAGACGTTGTGGATGTGAATGTCACCGGTTGGCCGATTCACTCAGAGTTTTTCATTGGTTCCTATGCTTTTGTTGATTTCACCCTAAAACGCCCTAAAACATTTTGTAAATATAAACATCTAGCAGGATCCCAAGTGACCAGCTCCAGCATTTTTTTCAGGTCAACTTGCTCTCCGAATCTGCCACTGTGGACATGATGCTATTCCCAGCTCCAGCTTCCATCGCCGCAGCCTCCACTGCCGTGATCAGTGCTTTGACCTCTGTGGGACTGACGGCGTCGGTGAGCAAACTGCCGGAGCTAGCGGCTGGACCCACGACGCTCCACTTTGAGGCATGGAAGGGGATGGAATGGCAACGGGGAATGCTTTTAGGGGGATGCCAGATGTGCCATGATCAAAACTTAGGTAAATTGGCCATATTGGAGGTCATCAATCCATGTAGGATTTAGAGGAATTTCTATCCCAATATATAACCATGTTCGGTTATAGGATGATAGGATGGATGACCATACCTCTACATGCACGACGTTTTGACCATTGCACATATGACACTATTTTTTCATGGAAGCTTATAATAGCCTATATGGAAATATGTTCATGGAAGCCTGTAATAGCCTATACAGATACGTATTACCTTTTGCCCCCTTTTAGTTTACACAACGGCTCATATCGGGGAGCATATAACTAACCAGCAGCAATTATATGATATGCTTAGTAATCTTAGTATATGAATGTGGGAAATTTGGGAACTGCCCACACAAAATGGCTATGTTTTGCTATCTAAATAGGAATAGTGATGATGAACCTATGGATTTAGGAGTGCCGTATTTTAAGACAACCCCTTATATTGATTAGCTGTATGATTATATATATATATACACGTGTTTATACGCGTTTATACGTGTTTATAATAATTGTATATAATGTGTATGTGTATAGAACTGTATGTATATATATATACATATTATAAGAATGTATAGTAGCAAAAGTCTCACTTCATGTGGTTTGACTAATGTTGGATATGATGTATGATGATCATGTCCAATTTCATATCACTGCTTGGTGGTTTCTGCGGCGGGGTGAAACATGGTGGAACCACCGGCCAGAGAAGCTTATCGTACAACGCTTTACGGTATATCATACTATATTCATACGTCTATATGGGTGTGTCTGAAAATAGTGTACCCCTAAACCCAATGGTTTTGCTGATCATTATCTCTATTAAATGGCTATAATTGGGAATATACCCTATTTTCAGACAAACCCATATCCATGCCGGTTGTACTTCGTACTTTATATTTCGAATTATTTCGATCTATGTATCAACCTACCATGACTTACCCATCGCCTCTATTGTATAATTATACACAGACTGAGATTGAACTTTTCGATGGGATGTCATGAAAGTTCTGATCAACAGTGTCAGTACCTATATCTATATAAATAAATATAAATAAAGATACATATATACATATTGTATACATAGAATTATATAATTACATATGTGTGTGTATGCTATATCTACATGTTTTAATAGGTAGACACCCTGCTTGGATGTGCGCCCCACTTAGTAAGTGGTTTATAATTTATAATAACATTTTAAAACCCACATATATATATATATACAGTATACAAAAATATTGTCATAACTATAACTATGTATATATATATATAACACAGTGGTATTTCACATGGTGTTACCCACGGTCGACGCTTCCTGGGTCGCTCAGGTGTTGGGAATGACCTGTGCATCCTGCGTCGGCACAGTCGAGAAGGCTCTCAAAAGCAGCCCAGGGGTGGCAGATGCGCAGGTGAATTTGCTGGCAGAAACCGCCACAGTGAGGCAGGCGAACTGATGAAATATGATGAAATCCAGTCTTTGAAAATTGGATATGTATTGATATCTGGTTGGTGGTTTGGAACTTCTGTTTTTTTCCATATATTGGGAATAATCATCCCAACTGACTAATATTTTTCAGAGTGGTTGAAACCACCAACCAGATATTTAATGAGATTTAGACTCGTTTTCATGACATTGTTTGGCGATTTGATTGCCAAAATGATGGTGAACATGGGTAGAGCATCAAAGTTGGGAGTATCCACTTTTCAGATAAACCATGACATGTTTGGCCGAATCCAGTTGATAAATTCTGGGATCAAAAAAGCCATGCCACTGACCCCACCATTTTTGTGATAGGAAGGGAATTAAGATAAGTTATCAAAAAGGCCAAAGCATACCGTGGTGAGCAAAACATTGTTTTTTCAACATATGACTAGCTATGTATAATTTGCCCAGATCAAACCTGGCATTCACTCAGAAATATGGCCGGGGTGTGGCTCTGTATGTGGAATCTTTATTGATCGCTTTTTGGCATATGTTTATATACTGTTTATGGTATAGTCGGTATAGTGAATATGTATATATATATACAACCTGTTCTACAGAGCATCAACAGCCTTTTTCTCCAAATCCCTGAGGTTCACCGAAGCAGTGCCCGAAAAAGATCTTGACTCCAAGGTGAAGGCATTGCAGGAGGCCGTGGAAGCGGCTGGATACGAGGCATCTCTGAAACCTGCAGTGGCACGAGGGCAGGAACATGAAGCAGTGTTGGTTGGTAACTCTGACCATTCAGCACATGTTTATAGATGTGTTTTGTTTAGATATGTTTTGATATAGACATTCTACAATGTACATATTTATAGATGTAGAATTATATAGATATGCGGACTTTCCATAGTTTGATTTCATATGTAAGTGTAAGTATATTAGTTCAAATGAGAGCCAAATCAAACTATAGATGTTAAACAGTCAATAGTGGATGACTTTGGTGTAGCTACGGTTGGTTCACATGTGTTTTTCTCAAAGCCTTCAAAGTGCTTGTTTTTCCTTGAACACATGAGGTATTTGAACCCACACTGAATATGTTCTGAGCTATTTTGAGGTGTAGATGGGAGGTTCAAGGTTCCGTATCTAGATTATCTAGGTGATGTTCAGTGTTGCTTTTTTTACATATAGTTATATATATATATATAATATAATATGTCTATGGTTTCTCTCATCCTGAGCTGGCACCCTATGTGACGTTTTGCTAAGGCAGGGCCCCTGACGTCGAGCAGGATTTGGAGCAGAACATCGTCAGCTCCACGGACTCCGTCGTTGCGGAGCTACAGCAGCTGACGGGCGTGGCATCTGTGGTGCCCAAAGAAGGCCCTGAAGCCTTGGAATTGCAGGCGAGAGTTGGGGAAACTGGGAGGAAAATGCCAGGAGTTGTTGGAGTTGGCAACGTTTGGTACATGTCAAGATTAAAAATGCAAACTGGTGGGATCAAAATCCAGTTGGTGACTGGAATTTAGATTTTGATGCATTTGTCTTTGCATATTCCTGACTAACTATACTACACAACTATTCAAATCCCATATGCGCCATGTACCGCAATGTATTGAATATTTACTAACATTTATCACCAAAATGACCCAACTGTAGCTAAATATTCCATACATGGAGCATACGGGAATTGGTATGCGCCTTGTTTTACCCCCAAGTGCTCTGACCCGCCTGTTTTAAAGGTGCGTTTCCATGGTGAACGCGAGCGGGTTCTTCGAGAGCTCCTATGGACCTTTGAGGATGCAGGTGTGCTGGATATGATTTTGAACCCACCAAAGCTGGAGGCTGCCCCAATATCTCCATGAAAGCCTGCTGCCTGCACCTAATTTTTAATGATCTTAAGGTATAGAAAGGTGGAATGACTCCTCTGCCTCTAACACTCCTCATCTTGAAAGGGCTCACTTTCCACATACCCCTGAAGTCAAGCCGAGCCTAACGTGTTTATATCGTGTTTATTACAATTGTTGATTTAAGGGCTGGCGAAAGAAAATGGCAGGTATGATGGATGTTACACCTAGTTTCAGGATTACGAGGCCCTATGACACCCAAAGGGATAGAAACAGCATTCTATGAAGTTATTTGTTGTTCCATCCCGCAAGTTACTTGGTGTTTGCGGCTTGGGTGTTTTAGAACAGGGATACTATTTAAGTGATTATCGATAGCCTTTGTAGGGTCCTGAAGTTCCAAAGCGCCTGTTAAATTTGTTCATTGGTGGAGGTAGGAAAAACTTGGGAGCACTATCACCTAGATTTGGATTGAATCTTGTGTAAGTTGTTCTTGTGGCATCCAATGGTCTTCAATGATCCCACTAGTGTTTCTCATTGATATAATTGTTGAATAATATATATATAATACTAATAAAGATAATAATAATAATAGGCATATAGCATATGAATGGAGATTGATCGAGACCTATCATACCATATTTTGATGATGAACATCAATTTACAAAGTTGGTACTATATGTTGAAATGTTCACCAGGGGTTCAGGGTTTTCACCCACAACCATGTCTGGTTTCATATTTTATTTTCAGGCAAAACGATTAGGAAGAAACAAACGATAAGATTCACATATTTATGCCCAACATATGGCCTGATTTGCTTGCTTTTGGATTGAAAAAATCGATTATCGGGGATGAAGATTGATTTGGAATGTGAATTTCGGATCCGAAAAATTGTCTGGTGCTTGTTCTTCCAGAGCTGGTGGTTAGAAGGGGCCAAGATTTGAAAAGGTGATTTTTGCTTGCTGGATGTATCTGCAAATTGGTGCTTGGAAAGGCCACACCCTGGAAAAGCTGATGTTTGTTTGCCGAAAATCATTGTTTCCTCTTCTTCCAGAGGTGGTGCCTTGGAAGGTGTAGGGGCTGAAAAGTGATTTTCGCTTGCCGCTTGCCGAAGATCGTTTTTTTTTCTATCTTCCTCAGCTCTAGGTGCCTTGGAAGGGGCAGGTGCTGACAAGTGATTTTCGCTTGCCGATAATCGTTTTTCCATCTTTCTTTAGAACTGGTGCCTTGGCGGGGTAGGGGCTTGAAAAAGTGATTTTCGCTTGCCGAAAACCGATAATCGTTATTCCATCTTTCTCTATAGGGCTGGTGCCTTGGTGAGGTAGGGGCTTGAAACGTGATTTTCGCTTGCCGAATATCGTTTTTCCATCTTCTTCCAGAGCTGTTGCCTTGGGGGGCAGGGGCTTGAAAAAGTAATTTTCACTTGCCGAAAATCTTTTTCCGTCTTCCTCCAGAGCTGGTGCCTTGGGGGGGCAGGGGCTTACCGAATATGTATCGTTTTTGCATCTTCCTCCAGAGCTGGTGCCTTGGGGTGTTAGGGGCTTGAAAAAGTGACTTTCGCTTGCCGCTAATCGTTTTTCCATCTTTCTCTAGAGCTGGTGCCTTGGGGGGTAGGGGCTTGACAAAATGAACATCCAACTCATGTACTGCAGTTAAAGAAAATTCAAGGAAATCTGAAGCTGAAACCATGTATGTTCCACATAGTGCAAGATATTCTGTAGGACTCGAACTCCTGATCTCCCGCTTGCTGGGCTGACGCTCTACCAACTGAGCTATTGACCCTCTGGCCTCAGTGTCTGCCAACCTTTTATCTAACGCTTTGACCTATTTTTTCCACGGCCGCGCAGCAACAAATCCCTTTCTGCATGTGTTGGCGCGTGTGCTTTTCAGCCCGTGCTGCCTCTGCTTTGGACAGCTGTTCCGTTTTGGATTCGTTCCGTGCAAAGCTGTTTCTGGAGGCACTATTTCCACATAATTCTAAATTGAGAAACTACCAAGAATTTGCAAAACCCTCACCACGTGCGAGCCTTCAGCAATGATTCTCGGCTCCTTTGATTTTGGCCCAGCATGGGAACAAGCACTGTCCGCACTAAAAGAACTGCGTGTCGATTACAGGAAGGCAACAGGCGTGCAAATTACCTAATCTTGACACAGGGACACAGTGCATCCATGTCTTGTGATTTTGAAACAAGTAGAACTTCAGCTTCTTTGTGGGTGGCAACTGAAGGCAAGACTGGTGCCAGCAGCCGCGACAATTCCAGCTCCACTGAGTGTAGTAAAGTTGCAGCATGTTGTTTTCATGGGAAACGATAAGGTTTGGTTCCTCGGTAACCATTTCCTCGCAAAAACGATAAGGAAGAAAACAACATAATGTTTGGATGTGTGATTGAATTATAAAGCAACGTTTTCATACAACCTTAATTTTATGTGTATATATATATATATGATATTTATTTGTTTTGGCAGGGTCATGATTATGTGTATACATATATATATACATATATATATACACATAGACACAATAATATCTATATTTATATACACTATAATACGATAATAATAACAATAATATTAATAATAGTAGTAATAATATTAATAATATATATATATATATGAAGATGGGTCAATGGCTTCAGACCATCATCCAGTCCACCAGGTTTCCTTGGAGTTCACGTGCGAGAGAAGCGAAGTCAATCTGCCTTGGAGCGCGCGCAAGAGCGGCGAGGCTCTGAGGCCCTTGCATGGAAGAGGCTAGGAGTTGCATGTTGATATAGCATGACATAACCACAGGATATCACGGGAAAAACATGTTGAAATGGGTATAAAATGACATATTTTGACGTCCAAGGGATATTTATGGATATTTTGGTTGGTTAAAAATTGAGCATTTGGTGTTGAATGGGTGCCCATTGGCAATGGAAGATCACTGCTGTGCATGGAGTATACCCAACTGGTGAAAATGGAGATTATGAGATATTAATGTTATCTCGCAGGTTGAGAGGTTTGATGTCGATGTATCGTCCAAGCTATCTCCGACAGGTCATTTTTCATCTCATTGGTACTCACTTTGCCTGTGGTTCTGCTGATGTGGGTCTTTTCACCCATGAAATCCTTGCACAAGCTCTTCATGCCCAACAATGTGGACCTTGCAGGTGGGCCTGGGCAGATGTGTAAGATCTTCCCTGGCCCTGTAGGGGCCCCATGGCACTTGTTTGAAGAACGTGAACAGAACGGATCATCCGCTCGTGGGCCCTGGAGCCCTGGGCTTATCTCCCCCTCCCCATTAAACGGCCACCGTTTACGAAGTTCTTACAGGCGAACCCTTGTCATTATTCTTAGTTGTTCAAGTATATAATAAGGATTGATAAGGTATCTGTTGTTTTTTTGAAAACAATCATGAGATATGTCCTCTCACCAATTCTATTCAATATCAAAAGCATCGACAAAACAAGGTCTACCCCAAAACATCTTTTGTTCTGATATTTTCTTCCAAACCATCCTCATCTTCTGGTCCCCTTTACTTTGTGCCAAAACAAAGAGGTTGTCTCGGAAAATCACCCTCCAGGGTCCAGGGTTGCTCCGTAATTTGGTCTTTTGACCTATTTTTACCCCTTGACCCAGTTTATCCCCTTGCATCTAGGATGTTGATGAACTAGTTCGAGATAATCTAAATAGATCTACCATAAACATCCATAAACCATATCCCCACCACAACTCTCCATAGCTCCAAGGTCTGCTGATGTTCGCCCTGGCAACGCCGGTGCAGTTCGGCAGCGGTTGGGTCTTCTACAAGGAGGCCCTGAGTGGTTTGAGGCATCGAAAGCTTGGCATGGCTGCCATGGTGGTGCTGGGAACCACGGTTGCTTGGCTCCTGGCCGTTTTCTTAAATCCTTTTGTTTGCCCACGAACATTTGGAGAAATCCAACAAAACGAGGATTGCGCACAAAAGCAGACATTTAACCAGCAAAAACGAGGATTCAGGAGGTACGACTCGGGCGAACATGTGATTTCAATGGAATTGCTGTATTCTTTACGATTTACGGAACATGTTGCAGGAAACTCTGATTTGTCCCATCAACGATTAAGGTTTTCTTCAAATAGATTCTGCAACCAATTCTGCGTGCATATCTGAGAATGGCAGATTGTTTCCCATTTGCCATTCAAAATGTGGAACCTGACGGAACATGGATAAAGTAAACACTGGATCTGTTTCTGGGAAATATATCATTTGGCCAAGAGTTTGCAGTCCCGGGATGGCGAGCAGGCTGCATACCTCTCCAGCTGCCTGCAGTTGGTGAGCAAACTTCTGTGTCATGAGATGGCAGCGATGAGTTTGGACTTTGACACATCGTCTTTGCTCATCACTTTCGTGCTCATGGGCGCCTTGGGTCCGGACATGGCTCAAAGAAAGGAATGTCGAAATGCTATTTGCATTAGTACATGATGATCGATCATAATCCCATATTATATATATATATATACACATAATATAATGTAACATATACATGTGCAGAATATTCAGTTTTTGTTTTACATGCATAGATCTCCATGTTCAAACCTGTGAGGTTCAAAACCTTGCTTTCACGGTTTCACCTCGTGTTTCACATTTGTTGTTGTTGGCATGAATGTGAGGATAGTCTTAGTTTGAGTTTTCTCATTCACTCTGCGCAGTCGAAATTCCTAAATCGGACTGAGGAAAGTGGCTGGAATGTCGCGCCAAGGGGAGCACTGGTGACGCCATCACCGCCCTGATGGCTCTGGCTCCGCGCACTGCGCTGTTGCTGCAGGGCCGACGGGAACGCGAGGTGGATGCTAAACTGCTGCTGCAAGGGGATTTGGTCAAGGCGTGGGGCTTCCCCAACAGTTGGGGGGCGCAATTTCACCATTCAAAGACGGAAAATCACCATTAAAAGGTGGTTTAACCTGATTTAACATGGTTCAATGTGGTTTAACGTGTTTCACCGTTTAAAAGGAGAAAACGCACAGATTTGGGATTCCATCAACACATATCCACTTATCCAAAACATAATTATATCATATTATATCAACATATTAATGGTGCCAACCTGAAAATCAGAATGTTTTAATTTTCTGTATCTATCTAAGACTAGCAATGCCATGGTGCCATGGCGTATTGCCTGCTGACAGTGGGTCACCGGGTGTGGGGTGGGGTGTTGCCTTTGATGCGTCACAAGTCACGATCTCAAGCGGTCAGGTGCTTCCTGGCGCCAAGATCCCTGCAGATGGCGTCGTCACCTGGGGCGAATCGGCAGTAGATGAGTCGGCACTCACCGGGGAGTCCTTGCCCATCCCGAAAAAAGTGGGCGATGAGGTTATTGGTGGAAACTGGGCATTGTGAACAAAGTGGTAAGTTTTTTTATTAAGGTGTTCAAACATATATTTCCTATAGCATTTATGGGAACACTGACACATATTTCAGTTTCATCCATAGTTTATTTGTTCACCAAAGCTGTAGGAACGGTGAACCATGGGAGCGTCCTGCAAGTCCGGCTGACTACTGTGGGTGAGAACTCGGCCTTGTCGCAGATTGTTGGCCTTGTGGAGCAAGCTCAAAGTCAACGTGCTCCAGTGCAAGAGTAGCTCGGGCACAATCTAGGCCTACACCATTCATGGCAAGCTGGTATAGTTTGTCTACATTGAACTGCGTGATTTGGGAATATCCTTTTCAGGTACACCTACATGGGTGAGTTGGAATTTGGTAGAAATTGGGGGGGCCTATCAAGATTCAAGACAGTATTCACTGTTGTCCGTTTCTTATGTGTTCAGTGTCGCTTTCAATCCCAGACCCGTTGTCATGTGGCGCACGTATTTCTCTGTGATTGGACCAGGGCCAGGATGGGCCAGGCTTGTTGGCTGACATCCCCCAAGGGTCGCAAGCTTTGCTGATTTTGATTATTTTTGTGCTTACCAAGCACCTCTTGAACAAGGTTTGCCGATCGCATTTCGGGTGTCTTTGTCCCAGTGGTGATGACAATCAGCTTGTTGACTTTCATCCTGTGGGTGATTTTGACCCATTGCGGCTTGGTCACCTCCCTTCCCAGCCGCCAGAATCCCATGACTTTCAGCCTCATGATGGCAATCTCAGTGCTCGTGGTGGCGTGCCCCTGTGCCCTGGGCCTTGCTGCCCCCACTGCCGTGATGGTGGGCACTGGCGTGGGCGCGCAGAATGGCGTGTTGATCAAGGGAGGCAGGGCTTTGGAAACGGCCCACCATGTGCAGACTGTGGTGTTGGATAAGACTGGAACCATCACTGAAGGCGGGGGAACATTTGCTGTGCATGTCAGTGAAGATCAAGTGGTGCGGATGCATGCTACTTATATGATCTATATGTTATCTTATAAGCAATTTGTATATCAAACATGCATAGTTTGATGCACATCCACGTGTGTGGCATCTGATGTCTGAACAAACTGATGCGATGATTGCTAGCTTGGTATATAAGTATATTTTATATATATATATACATAAGATATATCTATCTATCTATCTATCTATCTATCTATCTATCTATCTATCTATCTATCACTTATTGTTACCTTATATGACTTGATGGTCTCTGAATTTTGGTTTCTTCCCAGTTTCGAAGGAGTCAAGTGATCAGACGATTCCGTCAAACATGTACCCGTGACAGTGAAGGTAAACCAAGTATGACTGACATCGAGCTTCTTTCGAATGACTTCCCTGAGAACTGGTTGGCGGATGTGGCAAACCATCTCAAAAATATTGGATGCACAGCACATCCAGATAGCCAGATGAGAGACTCGGTGAAGAGATTTGCGGACGTTCTGTGGTTTTGGTATATTTTGGGGTAGTGTGGTCGATTTTGGTACTGTTGCTGTAGCCCAAGATCTTGCTGAACCAGCTATATAATTGATAGGGCGGGTATCAGTTTTTCAAAAGATCATTGATGTTATATTGTGTGTTTCCCCCATTGATAGTCAGGGTTTTTCAATCCGAGGTTGACATTATACAGTTTTACATTAGTCATTTGCAGGGCCCAGCCTGGCCATACACTTGAACGAGGAGGGAAATGGCTACGTAGTTTTCTCATCAAAAAAATGAAACTTGCCTTAAAAATGTTTCGTGGTCCCATCTTGGCGATTCCCCATGGTGGGCTCCTTGGGGGTAGGCAGATATCCCCATCTTGTTGGCGATGATATTCCTTGTGTATCCCAATTCTTTCCCAATACCTTTCTTGATGGGTTATTCTAACAAAAAGCGGGTCAAAAACTGAACTACCCACTACCTTCATTGAGGATTGCATGGAATTGTCATCAGGTAGGAAATGCATGGAAATGCTGAAATGTGGTGCCCTCCCAGTTCTAAGTTGGTTAGTTTACCCCCATGAACAATAAATATATAATAGATATATGCATCATAAAGTGCAGCTATATGTTTTAGTTGCAGTTATGGGCCAATGGGGCAGCTGCCTCAGTGCCAGGACAGGTCTTGCCAGCTCTCTACTTGGCCAGTTGCGCCGAGAAGGGCAGCGAGCATCCCCTGGGTCAAGCCGTGGCCAGAGATGCCGAGAAGATGCTGCAGCAGTGGAGCACCGCCACTGAGGCCGGGAAGATGGGGATGGAAAAATGGGGAAGCAGAAAAGCTGGGGTGAAAACCAGCAGAAATGGGGTTTAAAGTGGTTTGATCATGTTGAAGTCATGATATGATTTTTGATTGACCAACAAAAAATAATAGGAACAGAGATCGATAGGTAGATGAGCGATCCCAGTCCACCAGAGAAACCATGTCTCCATTTGTGGTGTCTGAAACTGGCGTTTTCTTCCCCATTTGTGGTAGTTTCAAGACAAACTAGCGTGTGTTTCTCCATGTTCTTGTGCAGTTGGAGGGGCTATTGATCGTATTATGATCCACATATCACCAGCTGACCGGCTGGTTCTACTGACCCCCTTCACAGCACATGTAGAACCAATCAATCAAACATTGGATCATTGGATCCTCGAACAACTGGGTTTTGTTCAGTTTGTTCACAGCATCTTTACAGGTACACACATGTTTTTGAGATTTTTGTTGGGCTCTTCATGACCCCATCTACAAGTAAGTGCAGGGCCCATCACCATTAGTTATATAGATTATTATAGATTTATATAGGAATATAGGATGATATTGGATATATTATGAATAGAACCTGGTGGTCATGGTGGGTCATGCGTTCATCATGGGTTTCCTGTCGCAGGTGTCTCCCATGTTGCTGGAGCCCGAGACCTTTCGCGCGTCCCCAGGCCGTGGCGTCGAGGCCACCGTGCTGTCACACCGGGTCTGCATCGGCACCGCGTCCTGGCTCCGGAGTGAGGGCGTGGACTTCGCGGAGGCCAAGGAGCTGCAGCACCTGGGAGTGGTGGTGGGAGTTGAAGAGAAAAACCATGGGAAAAACCATCGAAGAAACACCCAAACGTGGCAGACTCCTATTGTGGAGATATGGGATGGTATAGAGATGTGTATAGTTTATTTCAATAAATCATCATTTGTGTATACAGTGTATAAGTCCACTTGTATCCTGGGCCGTTTCAACCGACACGAACATCGGACCTTTCGGGCGGGATTCTATCACCTGACATCTGGAGCTTCAAGTTGAGAATTGGGATTGTAAGCCAACTTACAGACCATCCATGGGTTTCGTGCCCTTTGCTCCCTTGGATCAGCTTAACAGAGCCTTTTCCAAATGATTTGTCATCCAAAATGCGTTATTTAGATGTATTTAGATTCTATCGGTCAGAGATCTCTAAGAGTTTAAACTTTGTTTTGATCTTTTACGGTATAGCTATGTACAATTAACATCGTTATCCAGTTTTATATATACGTATGTAATCGCACATATAAATATATACATATATATATATGTATATATATATACATATATATATACATACATATAAATAACATACATATACATATATATATATATATGTTATACATAGTTTATGTTCTCCGTTGTCACCACTTCCTTTCGTTGCCCCGTGGCCAAGGCACGCCTTGGAGGACGACGGCAAGACGGTGATCTTCGTGGCCATCGACCAGCGCCCGGTGCTGCTGCTGGCGCTGGCGGACACGGTGAAGTCGGAGGCCGCACAGAGCATCCGGGCGCTGCAGCGCATGGGCCGCGAGGCCGGGGTGTCCTTTGTTGAACATGGACATATGGGATACATTGGGATTTGTAGATTTGTTTATATGGAATATATAGGATTATAATGGATTGTAGATCTTTTTTTGGGGGGTTGGTATGTTTTATATGTTTGAACATGGAAATATATATATATATGGGATATTCTGGGATAATGTGTGGGTAAACCAATATGCCATAAACCACCCATGACTGGGAATTGTTTATACCTATTTTGGTGATTTTGGTGATGGTTTATTATTGTTTTACCCACGTTACATTGGTATGTTTTATGGAATATAGGATTGTACAGTATTTTTTGGGGGAGGAGGGATGTCATTTGTTATATTATATATTTGATGGGATGACGAGTATATACTTATTTGGACAACTAGTGAGATGTAACACGCTATTTGACACATAGGCTTTACATTTGTTTACGGGGATATAATGGTGGTGTCCTCGGGATTTAGTGATGGTAAATAACCAGCAATGAAGATATGATCAACAGTGAGGAAGGAGAACATGGGCAAACTTTGATGGGCAGGGATTGAAACATCAAAGAAAGGCCGGTTAACCAACAATGTCTAATCTATATTTGGGATAACATATCTAATATTTGGTCATTGCTGCCCTACAAATCTAACATCTCAAAATTGTTACCCACTTCGGTGATGTCAGATTTTCCCACGACAAGTTGAGATTTTCCGTCTGGCTGTGTTAAAATATCAAAGGGCATAGTAAGATTGCATTTCAGTTGGGAATTGGCCGTATATGTCCATACATTCAATGTTTTTATATAAATTGCCAAAAACCGGCTGTCTTTCCATCCTCCCCCATTTCAACTACCGTTTAGAAGAAGCACCATCCGGGAAAAGAAAACCTGCATGGCTGAATGTTCAACCCCCAAATATTGTTAAACCAGGTGGGATTTGACCCACACCCAAACCGTGATGTTGGTTAAGTTATTATATATATATAATCAATTTTCGTCCATAGGACTTGCATGGACTTGCCATTTACAGTAAATTGGTTTGCCATGGTTGGGGATACTATGGAACTCAATTACAACGAACATGTTTGATGTGGAGAGGATTTGAACAAATGAAAAGACAAGCGACATGCGATTGCCATGGCAAATCATTGCATTTGTTCATGCAAGTTAGGCGGAGAAGGTCTGAGAACCATAGAAAGGATATGGGGGTGTTCCAAAAATTGCTCCAAATCATCCATTTTATTTTCGGATTTTCAATGAAATAAACAATCCAGCTATTGGGGATCCCCCATGTATGGAAACCCCCATCTGAAAAGATTTATGAGGCCACCCATGGGAAAAAAACACCTTGAGCTCAGCCGAAAATCGGGGCCCAAAGCATCAAAGGATATCAAAGGAAAGAAACAAGCATTGAGAGATCTAAAACTGAGGACAATGGGGGTGGGTGAAACTTCAAAGGTGGAAAAACATATGAACGCATGTTTTTTTAAATTAGTGATGTCTGCAACGGAAGTTTCAATTTTCAATGCCAAGTGCCAAGCAAAATGCGGGTGAAGCACGAGAAACGGTAGATCCTGTCACTGAAAGCATGCCGGAAGACAAGACGCTACCAGTCACTGGATTGGTTCAATGGGAAAGCAAGCACCATAAACATGAAATCATCCATGAAAAACATATGGTTTCCAGTTTCCAGTAGACATTCGCATGGGAAACTCTGTTATAGACCTTCGTGGGCAGAGGTCTACATGCTCACGGGCGACAATCAGAGAACCGCCCACGCGGTGGCCCGACAGGTGGGTATCAAACCAGAGAATGTGGTGGCAGAGGTGGGCGATCAAAATGATGAAATTTTCAGGGTTTGAATGTTTCAATGTGGTGGTTTCCTAGAATAGGGCTACCCCCAAATCATCCATGTTAGTTGAATTTTCCATGAAATAAACCATCCCGGTATTGGGTACCCCATTTATGGAACCCCCCATATGTATGTTTTATGAAGTGATTCTTGATGAAATTCTGATGGTTGAAGATTATGGATTATTATGGTGTGCAGAGGATTTGAGTGATTCGAATCTGATGGTTGAAGAGTATGGTGCATTTGTGAGCCCAAAAACACAATTGAATGGTTTGATGGTGAGCTCAGACGTCTTGGAGTGTGATTGTTTTAGGTTTATGAGTGCCCTTTTTTCAGAAGTGCCCATGGTCTATATAAATTGATTGCTGGCACATGAAGGCCAAATGTGATCCAACTTAGGAAACTTGTGCATTCAAACGAGGTCCATGGCACAACTCCAAACTTAGGGGTCTCAAAGACGTCCGGTTGTTTGACTACAAGTCATTGCGAACCGGAAAGCGGAAGGGCAATAATCTCGACCCCCAGGTGTTGCCCTCGGGCAAATCCGCGAAAGTCAAGGAGTTGCAAAGTATCCCAGCTCCCAGCGTCTCCCGTCGTGGCCTTTGCAGCCTGCTGCGGAAGATTTGTTGCTTCCGGAGTCGAGAGCCTCTGTTGGATGGAGAAGTTCCTACTGAAGTCCATCGATTTGTGGCCATGGTGGGGGATGGAGTCAATGACGCTCCAGCACTTGCCCAGGCAAGGTTCAACGGAGGCTGAAGTCTTGTGCACTTCCAGTATAAACAAAGGATGGTGCTATCTCTTTGAGTCAACCCATGCAATAGGACCGGACTTGATTCTATCAAATCCAGGCTGGTTCAAACCAACCAGTGCAATGAAATAATGAATCGCCACCATTGGTTCGTTTTTGATTGTTTTTGCGTGGCGTGCATTGAACGTTTTTTTTCTTACACCTTTTAATCCTCCCAAAAAAAATGTCAAACATTGTAGAAAGTCAATCCAGATAAACGAATCCACATTCATGTTTTGAAATTACCCAACAGAAATATAGATTTACTCTGTGTCTTCACCATTTGCACATTCGGCAAAGATCCCTCATGAGGCAGACTTGGGGATCGCCATTGGAGCAGGTGCTGAGATCGCAATGGAAGCCGCTGATATGGTCCTGGTGCGCTCCCAGCTGTCGGATGTGGTGATTGCACTGCACCTCTCAAGCGCCATCTTCCATCGTATCCCGGCCTGACATGGAGATTATGGGCATGACTTTTTCACAAAATGTTGACCCATATTATATATATATTGTATAGACATGTATAGACTACTACCAGCTGATACTTTGTTTTTTTTTAACAATTTTACTCTGATGGTAAGATACATGCTTTCAACCATCTTCCCAAAGCAATCACAACCCATGATAATCCATTAAGGTATTCGCAAAGTTTCACACAGGAAACCTGATTGTTTGAGGTATTCAGGCTTCAACCATCATATCACCGTAGAGTTCCCCAACAAATCGCGTATCAATTGCAATCAATGATCATCAATCTATTTAACCATTGCTCAATATCATCATGCAGGTATTTGCCTCTCAGTTTCATACTTTAAAAATAAATATCAACATTGATTATATAATATAGTATTTTCTCCCACAAACCATCGAATTCACCTCAGCAAAGTCAAATAAGTCGCTATCCTGCGGCTATAGGTATTCAGCTCAACTTCCTCTTTTCCTTGGGCTACAATGCCATTGGCATTCCGCTGGCCGCCGGCCTCTTCTTTGCGCTCACCGGGCAACCCTTGGCCCCCTTCGTGTCCGGCGGCGCGATGGCCATGTCCTCGGTCTCCGTGGTCTTGTCGTCCTTGATGCTGCGCAACCTGGCCAAGGAGAATGGAGATATAATTGTTTGGATCTAAAAATATATAAATGGGATATAAGGATTATAGAAGGAAATATAAAAGGCTTATTTGCCTACTAATATGGTATAATTAATATGAACTAATATGGTATATAATATAATGGGATAGAACTGCATGTAAATGTAAATGGGTTATTAATGGGATTTGTACAGGAACCAACAGTATGATGTGATAATATTTTGGGGTTGTCCGAACATGGGGGCGTACGTAAATTTGTACTGCAGCATTTTTTGGATGGAAAATCACGATAATCCATGATCATCTAATGGATTCTGGGTATATATAGCCTTTGAATCAAAAACAAATACGACTATATGTTTCATGTGGTTTTGGGAAATATGACAATTCATTGACTGACCTCTTCAGTCATGGCTTAACTTCTCAACTGCCTGACATATTCTGGTCATTCTTGTTACTGTTTAGATCTGTTTAGCATATCATAGTAAGCTATACACACAAAAAGACATCAACATGTTCCTCCAGTTTTGCCGAGGTCGCTACAAAGCCCCATCCATCGTTGAACGGGAGCGTCCTGGGCTGCTGCAGCGGATTCTTCCCTCGCTTGGCGGATCCGACGCTTTGCTCAGGGAGCTGCAGGGAGAACGAGAGGCGCTGGAATCCGCGCGGCTCATGGTGCAAGGTGCGCGGGCAGTGGCCGGAACTGGGGAACTGTCCGTTTTTTTTTCGATAATTATAATTGAATGGGATATCATGGGGTATCAAAGGAACACTATATGATATGCAGTAGTTAAGTTGTTATGTTGGAAGATGTTGGAAGTATTGGATCATGACGTCCTATTGTCTTGCCGGAGGTTAGGATAGGATTTTGTTGTATATCATGGGATATGTAACCAAGAATGCGAGGGGTTGCCGGAAATTCGGTATTTACCACCAAAATGAGGGGTACAAAACTGTGGGAAAAGAATGGGATTGACTAACAAGATTCTCTGCAGTTAATTTGCTTCTTGCACGTGGATATAAAGTCAGGGATTTAACCGACCAACTTTGGTGGTATAAAGCCGATTAAACGCAATCCAATGTTTCTGATCGGAGACCCCTCAAACTCCCGTTTCCTCGAAATAAACGAGGGACATGAGTACATCCAACGACAGTGTTTTTACACAGTATTTTTTCCCGACCCGAACCGCTTCGTTAGTATGTCGTGATCCAACAATCATTATATATCATTATTATATGATTTTGTTCTGTACTCACTACTATTCACATGTTACGATATAATATATAATGATATAGATTTGTCATGTCCTTCCCCATGCAAAAAAGAGTCGGTGAAACATATCACCATCATGTTCTTGTAGGTTTTTGTTGAACATATAAACAAAATACCCTTTGGTAATTTAACATAGCTATTGAAAATCACCATTTTTAATGGGAAAATCCACTATAAATGGCCATTTTCAATAGCTACGTTAAATTACCAGAGGGTACATGGTTTTTGCACGTCTGATCATAAGCCCATCGCCTATCACTTCAATGTTTCACCTCTCCAATGGCCCATCCATGGCCCAAGTCCCAGTGTCATGTGACCCTGGCGGTGTTTTGGTGTTGCAAAGCCCTAAATGGTCAGCCTTTGGTTCTTTGAGAGAAGCTGATTTCAATAACTTGGATGATGATTTCACTTGGATGATAACTTGGGGTCAGTTTTCCGAAGCTCTCTACATTTTATTACTCAAGCATCCAAGATAGTGATTTGACTTACCTACCCGGCTGAAGAATGGTAGTCTCCCCAAAGATTGGCCAAACATTCTCCATCAGCCATTACAGACTTACAGTGAAGAAGGAGCCATCAAGATTACCCATCAACCCCACCACATATCTCGATTTCTGTTGGTCTCCCAATTTTTAGCTCATCTCTGATAAATCATGGTGGTTTCTCCCCCCAAAAAAAAGCTTTGAGACTTTCACATCACCATCATATGTGTGTGTATATGTGTCTGTGTGTTTGCTGATATCACAATCATTCATACTCCTTACCCATTACCGGGACCCTCACCACCATCAACCATTCTGAACCTGGGGTTTCCCCATATAACGCTACGTCACAGCATGTCACAGCGGGGTCTTGGATCCCCGGAAGGCAAGTCGATCACCTGCGGAGCCCTCTGGGGCACCCGTTGCAACTGTCGCGACGGTGCCTGCCCTTGCCGCAGATGTGACAAGACATCGCGGCCGGAGCGCCCCATGGAGGAACCGTAGAGTCCGCAGAGGTGATGGATGTGACACTGGGTATCCCCTCGAATAGATGGCTTGATACCCAATGTTCGGAAAATCCATGTTTAAGGCTTTGAAATGATGGCACATGATGGCACTGTCAAAGATTCATTTTCCTGAAATGTTTTGTACAGAAATAGAACTTGGTCACAGAATCAAGGCCAATTCACTCGAGCGCTACCGCCGGTTCAGGCGGAAGCTCAACAAGGGGCCGTTGTATATGTAAAGATACGCAACGTAATGCCCATTTCCCGGTTCCATTAATGTACAGAGGGGAATATGCAACGCAAACTGAAAGACAAACAGTCACAGTTGAGTTTAGTGTCCAAATGGCAAGTAAAAGTCCAGGAGCAGCTTAGTTCATGACAGCTCGGGATGTTTTCATTTACAAAGGCATGCGGAAACAAGGAGTTGGGTATGTTTCCAATTTTGAGTGCAGTGTACCGCCAAAAACCTTGGATGAAGACCGGAGGTACCCAATCCGTTGTTTGGTTCTGAGATCTTCCGAGGGATTTTTGCTTTTGACCCATGCATAGTGAGAAATACCAACAACGACTGTTAGTTGAGGACTACAGGTTTGAGTTTGAGGTGCCTTGGTTGTGTCAATCCATTGTGGTAGTCCCGCCCTCAGTGGCTTTGCAGATGACAGGTGAACAGCTTGGCTGATGCCTGCTGCGTGGCTGCGGGGCTGGAAAGCTCCATGGCCATGGCCACAGCAAATCCATAAATCCGTGCTTTGAAGTCCCACATCCATGGATTTCCTGTTTGAGCCGCCATCATGTGTGCATTGCTAAGGCATCAACAGCGACATCGTTGGTGCAACACACATTCAACGAGTTGAAAAGACGAGCGCAGCCATTTGGTAACATGTGGAAGGATCAGTCTAATGACAACATGAACGTGGTAAACCTAGGCCAACCCCCAATTGCATCCATGCTAAATTCCAGATAGATGTGGTATATAGGCGTTGCGACTGGTTTTTTTGTTTTATCATACGTTAACCATGTATGGATGAGATTGCCCAAAGAGGAAGCGCTGATGATCATGATGATCCCATGACCGGTCAAAAACAAAGCATCAAAACTATGGCAGCTGAGAATGGATGGCCGCCTTTCAATTCGATGATATACCATGATATATATTTATCTCCTGATTTATATACTGTCTTTTTCTAACCTGATGATTCTCCAGTCCGCGTCGCAAACAGCTTTTATTACCGTTGTTTGAAGCTGATGGTAGAGCCATGACTCCCAGAAAAAAATCCTTGCTGTGTTTGGAATGGTTCAAGGTAGAGCAGTTTGGTAGAGCAAACATATTGATGGAATGGTGGACATGCTTATATAAGGTGTTAAGACATTAATAAGTTTCACTTGTTTTGAAGGCATGAGTGCAGACACTGCAGACTCACTGTGGATGGTGATTCGCTGCTGTGGCAATCCTTACGGGGATGAAAACCAAATCAACGAACATATTATTTGCCAAAAAACATTGTTATCTACTGTACACTGGTTGCATATATCCGATTTGTGCATGCAGAACAAGACGCATAAGACGCTAAACAGGCATTCAGCATTCGCTGCAAAAATGCGACAGATGAGGGCAGAAGCTTCCCTCATGCGGCAGGCTTTTGTGAGCCGCCGGCGAAGACGGAAGGCCTTTCAATCTTGGAATGATTCGTCAGTGAATCAGGGGTTTCCTACATTTCCCATAGTTCCCCATGTGGCGAGATAGCAGTGGTCTTAAAACAAAAAAACTCACCGGGAATGAGGCTCAGAAAGTGAAACGGCCTTATGAAGGGCTGATTTCTCAAATGTAGTGAATATCATTTGCCCATGCGTTTGTGTGTGTGTGTGTGTCTTCAATCAAGATTTTACACCTGCCCAGTCATGTTTCCACATTGTTTGTTGTACTCGTAAAACACATTTCTGTTGTTAGCATCGAAAAAATGATGTTTCCCATTGCCATCTAGAGGGTAAAAGAATGCCCCTTTTTCAGACACACCCAATATACTGGTACCAGTTGACGTCAGTTGTTCGGATGGCTTGAGACCAAGCCTTTAGCTACCTCAAACAACTCAGCCAAGACATGATGGTTGCTATTTACTGGGAGGCCTTGGGCCCCGGATCCAGATTCCTTGGTGTGGACCTGAAAGTAGAGCATAGCGTACTGCCATTTCATAGGAAGAACATTGTGAGTTTGTTTCCTTACATGTTCGGACAGTTCCAAGAGATCCATCGAATTTCATAGGATAATGATAAGCCAAAGCCATCCCAGCCTGTCCGTTGCGACGTTGACAAAATCGATCATATGCCTCTAGTTCTCACACTTGACGAAGCTGCAGCCAGGTCCCTCAGCTTCGCTGCCGTCTCGGACGGACCCGCTTGGCCAAAAAAGATGGTCACCAAAATGAGTCCCAACGGCTTCCAACAAATATGGAGGTTTCAATGAATTTCAATACATGGCACAATTTCATTGGAGATTCCCATAGGTTTCAATACTCAATAATACTAAATATAGATAAATATCTAGTCCGTTTCGCCCTGATTTTTGTTGGGTACCCCCCATGTTAGGAAACCCCCATATCTTCCACGGTTTCTGTATGGACATCCATGTTATTAGAGAATCCCATGAGATGTTCGATGTCAACGACTGTGTGAAGATGAAGTATGCCCCAACAAAAATCTGGCAATTTTAATATGGTACTGTAGGAGTTCAATTAATTGGGTGATATTGGGTGCACAATGCAAGTGTATATAATAACGATTTAACCGATAGAGTTACAGAATTGATAATGATATAGTTTATATAAGCAGATCCTGTATACATGTGTATGTACATGTGCAACCAAGAAGCAAACATGTTATTTATTTGCGCCACTCCTTCATTGACACTTGGCCGTCGTTAGATGTCGTTGGTCCATGTTGCCATTCACATGGTTCACCAGGAGACGCTTAAGACTTTGATTTCAAATGTTGCTGGTTGGTGGTTTGGAACATGTTTCCCATATATTGGGAATAATCACCCCAACTGACTTTCATATTTTTCAGAGGGGTAGGTATACCACCAACCAGGTTGCCTTGAAAGGCCAGTAGAAAGTGGGATAAGCCATATCAATCCAATACAAAACTTGTATCGCCTGAAGACTGGATTGACATATCGATCGATGGATAGGGATGTAGTGAAGCGAGAAGCGGCCCATCCGCCCCACTTGACACCAGCACTAGAGTTTGGAGCTTTGCTACTGAAGAAATCTGAAGATTGTTTGGCGAGTCTCCAGAGCCAAATTATTTAAGAGGTGCCAATTGAAACGAAGAAGAACATTTAAATATCACACTAACATACATAAACATACATGTGTATATACATATATATATATATTTCATGTTTTACCCCCAAATTTGCCTGGAGAGCTGGGTCGTTTTGCCCTTGGGCCGCCATGTTGCCGGATGGGAAACGGCGATTTGGCCGCTCGCGTCGCTGCATTTTGCTTTGCAGTCGCTGGCTGCAGTTGGCGCATTAGCTGTGGCAGGAAGGGGAACAACGCTGAAAATTTTGGATCCATACTGAAATAGATTATTCCAACATCAATCATGACTAACCCTGATGATTACTTGTTAGTAATCACCAAATAGCGAATCATTAAACCATCATTGTAATGATACCATGTGGTAATTTAACAGAACTACTAGTGAAAATGGCCATAGAAATAGTTGATTTACCTATTAGACATTGTGATTTTCCATCGTTCCCCAAACAACACTGAGGGGTTCTTACGGTAAGTGTAAAGGCCGGTGCTTGATCAGGGTGCTCCAGCTGGGCCGCGGCATTTTTCTCGTAAATGTCCGTATAAAGTGGCTCTTGTGAAATGTTGACACGCATTTCGACTGCACAGGCTCGCGCAAAGTCTGGGTCCCGCTTCTGGGATCACTCCGGGGCGCGGTATTTTTCCTGTAATTTTCTGAAAGTTGCTTTTGCGAAAATGCTGAAGTGCATTTCGACTGCGCAGGCTCGTACAAAGTGTGGTCCTAGGTTCTGGGCCGCTCATGATCCTCCTCCTCCTCCTCATCGTCATCATCATCATCATCGTCATCATCATCATCATTATCATCATCATCATCCTCATCCTCATCCTCATCCTCATCACCATCCTCATAATCATCCTAATTCTCGTCCTCACCATTATCATCATCATCATCATTATCATCATCATCGAAATTATCATGCATTATCCTCCTACTCCCCCACACTGTTTGGGGCCTCTTGCCGGGATATTTTTTTTTGGTGTGTGTGTGTGTGTTTACCAGAGGGTACTTGGTGGCTCATCTCACGAATCCAGTTATAACAAGGGTTAGAACCTGCTCAGCAAGTTGGATGAGCCACCAAGAATAGGTATAGGTCAAAATATGGTACCTAATCATTAGGTGGGTAATACTTAAACATACTAAACATATTCTAGACATCTCTAGAATATACCCCTTCTGGGGCTTCAATTTTGACTCGCCATTTGGAGTGTCAACTTCGGGGTGCAGTTGGGATTATACATGGGTAGAACGGTATAACCATTGCAATAACCTTAATAAGTTGGGATATCATAAGACCATATGAGCCCTGTATATTTGTATATCCGCTTGTACCTGGAACGGCACCTCTCAGAAGAGAAACCCGAGATTTTGCCCAACCAGACTTCGACCAACTCGGAGATCATTCAACGATTTGTTTCTCAAAAAGGGAAGCAACTGGATTTGGATACTTGATAAGAGTTGTTCAACAACATTGAAAAATATAGAGCTTAGTAGCCGCTACGCGTCTATAATCGTCAAGCCTTAATGAGAGGTTTCCTAGAATGGGGGTACCCCAAACTATGGGTGTAAATGCAAAAGTGGTTTAAATCTGGATGATTGGGAGGTACACCAACCCATAGGATGATACATGTTACCATATATAGCATACATGGATCCTATGGGCAATTTCCGGAAACTTCCGGATAAAACGACAACGGAAAATTCACCAGACCTTGGTGACTACCACGGGCGATCACGGGCACGTCTCAGGCCTCGCCCTCTGGCTGTGTCTGGCGCCCTGCTTTGCGGGACTTCAATGGCGCTCCAGGAATCAAGGCCCTGGGGTGGGATGAAGACCTGGGAAAATCATGGGTTTTTACAGGGAAAACATGGGAACATATGGGAAAATATGGGAAAATATGGGAAAATCATAGAAAGTGGGGCTAAGTGTGTGAACATAACTCCAAGTTCACTATGTTTTTTTGGTACTTATAACATCTTATAACGACTAATTTCTGGGGTTTACAAAGCAACAAACATAACTGGGAAACCCCCACATTGTAGGATTGAGGTTAATTTTAGTACGGCAATGTCATGTTCACCAACCATATTATGGATATATAACAATATATATATATATAGATTGATGGTTGGAATCCCAATA